TTTAGATTTTTATTAATCTGTGTTGTTAGGGACCTAAAGTTTTAACTTTTTATGTCCTTTACATCTGCCTACAAATAACAGTTAATTGTTGATAATGGATCCATCTCCAATCACTGGAGCTGATAATTTTCAACAAATTTCGTACCACAGTTATTAAAAATCAACGGCTTGAAGAGCTGGCGAATAATATGCAATGCATACTATAGCTAGTTTTTACTGAATTAAGAAAGTTATAAAAAAATTTACTTTTGAAATTTGGAGTGTGAGTGGGTCCGACAAACCTGCATTTTGAAAGCCTTATATATAATGATTTCTGAAACCAAAAGTTCTATTTATATTTTCATTAATTTTGGGTGTCGTAGGGACCTAAATAAATAACGTCCTTTACATATCTGTAGGCCTACAGATAAAATTTTTAATAATGGATCACTGCAATCACTGTAGCTGATAATTTCAAACAACTTTCGTACCACAGTATTAAAAATCAACGGTTAGAATAACTGGCAAAATCCCCCTTTCCCTATAATTAGTAAAATAACCATATTAGTAAAATAATAGGTTTAAAAAAGTGGACTTTGAGGGTACAGGAGCAGGGACCTAGAGTAGGGATTTGGGGGCCTTATAATTGATTTCTCAAACCCATTCTTAAATTTTCTATTTTAATTTTTAATAATTTGTGTTTTTAGGGATCTGAAGAAGTACACTGTTTTATGTCCTTTACATCTGTAGGCATCTAGATAACTTGTTCATATGGATCAATTTGTAATCACCGGAGCTTGATCATTCCAACAAATTTCATAACACAGTTATTAAAAATCAACAGTTTGAAGAGCTGGCAAATATAAAATGAAATGCATACTATGGCATTTAGCAATAATTAGAAAGAAAGAAGACCTTTGGAATGGGGAGGGGGTGTCCGCAACCTCTGCACTCCCTGCCTACGGGCCTGCCTACACTGTAATATTGTTCTTCAGCTTACTGCTAGAGTTAGGCTTTAGAGTTAACCCAAGTACTCAAAGGAGGCGTAAACTTTACACTTACTGTTTGAAAATCGTATCCTAAAACTGAAGACAAAAATGTTGGTATATCCGTAAAGAAGAAATATACGCCAAAGTCGAATGAAAAGTAACTTATGACGATTGCCAAAACTGGTGGCGAGGTAAAAATGGACAGCCATGGAACGGATTTAATCTAAAATATGATTTGAAATAAACACAGAAGATTAGAGTATTAGTTAATCATTATTATTAAAAACAAAACTATTCACATCACGTTTGCACTATAAAGAACCTAGTATATCCTTCGAGACGAGTAGGGGGATACCCCGGTGTACTGGAACAGGCAGCACCTGTGGTGGACGACGAGATTTGCTGGTACCGGGTAACCGGGTAGCACAGACACGAAGGGACCCTTAGGGGTGAAGAAAGTCATTGATCGAGTTCCTAGTCCACATATCAAGCGCCCTGAGCATCTTACATTAGATGGATATGTGCGCTATATAAAACCTGTCTCTTATTACACTATTATTATTATTATTATTATTATTATTATTATTATTATTATTATTATTATTATTATTATTATTATTATTATTATTATTATTATTATTATTATTATTATTATTATTATTATTATTATTATTAAAATGAATTTACCTTGAATTTACCTTGAACCATAGGACTTGAGAACTTAGCTCATTTGTCCCTCCATCGTCATTCGTACAAACTCTTCAGTTACGTACGGGCGAAACTTAAATTGGTGGTGTACCCATATTTTGAAATACCCGATTTAAACTGATGGACAGTAGTAGAATCAACCACCTAACTGGGCAGGGCATTCCAATCATCAATTACTCTAACTGCATAAGAGTTTTTTCTAATATTAAGCCTAAAACGAGGCTTACTTAATTTATGTTTATGACCCCGGGTTTGCTTATATTCAAACTTCTGAAAGAGCTTCACTTCATCAATACTTTCTAATCTATTAACAATCTTGTTATTGTTATTATTATTATTAAAATGAAGTAACATTACACTATACATATCACATTTATACAACAAAATGTCGAATACAATTGATATAAAATGTATCTATAAGTAAGATTAATATAAAGAGCTGTTTAATTAAAGACGTTACGAAGACGTCCTGTTATTATATTTTGCATATAGATCTATATTTACTCGCTTTGGCATATCTATTGGTTTGATAATAATAAAAAAAAACTTACTTTGATATCCGATTCCATTGGACTTGGGTTTGAATCGAGCAAGGCGAGCTCATTCTGTGATATGCATGGATGTTCGTTTGCTGTATCGTATACAAACACTGTCCAAAATAAAGCCAAAATCAAGCCTACACTGCCTGTCGTTACACCATTTTCCCCGTAGAAAAACGGTTCGATAAAAAGTGGAATAATAATGATAGAAATATATAACCCAGTTGAATACTACAATGGATGTAAATAAATATATCTAAACGGGAGAACGGATTAATCACACTGATTTTTCTGTAATTTATCTTTTTTCTTCGTATTTTTTTGTTATTAAGATATTCCTTGGTTAAGATTTTTTCTATTTTCCTATACTTATTTCTGACAGGAACTGTATAATATACAAGATACAAGATAACTTTATTGTCCGAAAGGATATTACATTTGGATATTACATCGTATGAACAATTTTAGAAAGTCAAACAAATATAAATATAAAGGAGGTGTTAGATACGGTATAACTTCCGACATAAAGTCTACAGTACAATATATACAACACAACATTACATAAAGATAGCCAACCAGCAATTAAAAATTCTAATTTAATATGGAACAAAAGAGTTAACCGACTTGTTCTACAGTTGCAGCATTTTAATCTTTATAACCATTATTATTAACATTAGTACCGTGTGTAATGCAGCTGAAAGAGATCTTTGTGAAATATATTATGCTTACTTACCGTACGTATAAAAAGACAATGGCCATCCTCCAAGCACATTCATTGAGCAAAGCCTAGTAGACAGTAGACTCCCAACAGTGATACCCATCTGCATTCCTAGAGTCAGAAAGCAATGAGTACCTAGGTGAGAAGGGGCCCCAGTGCAGGAAAAATTTCCGGGCCCTTTGATGTGAAGGATCAACCGAGGACCGTAGGCCTAAGTTATGGCTAGTGGGTCTCGGGAAGGTGTGTGGTAGGAGCCACAAATTTCCCTTGTGGGGTTGTGGAATCCATAAAACATCCGATGTTTTTCAGGAGCCGTGTTTTGAATCTAAAGAATGACAATTTTAGGAGTAGATACAGTGATTCATGTTTACAGAAATTCGTCTTATGAAGTGCTTCTTTTTACTCGCTACACTACGAGGGAGTGGAATGGGTGGAACAGGTAGCACAGACACGAAGGTACCCTTTGGGGACGAAGAGAGTCATTGACCGAGTTCCTAGTCTACATATATCAAGCACCCTGAGCGTTTTATATTAAATGGATAGGGCGCTATATAAAACTACATTATTATTATTATTATTATTATTATTATTATTATTATTATTATTATTATTATTATTATTATTATTATTATTATTATTTATTATTATTATTATTATTATTATTATTATTATTATTATTATTATTATTACTATTATTATTATTATTATTATTATTATTATTAATGGCCTAGGCTAGTAATAAATACTAATCATAATCGGAACCTTCGTAACTATTTCAAGGGAGGCGTATTGTCTCAGCAGGTATTCTAAACTCATGGTATTCAAACGACCCATTACCTCCATGGTTCAACTGATTTTTTCATAAAAATTTTCTCTATGGGAATAAAATCTATTTCGATTAAAAACGCCTAAATGGTTAAGGGGTCAGACACTATCATCAGACAAAAGATGATTTTATTAAAGCATGTAATCACATTGTGAACATTTTATCTGTTTGACGCAAAAATATACTCAAGAGTCCCTACATAGTACTGTTTTAAAAGTTACCAACAAAATAACAGATAGATACTTGAATTATACTACTTAATATATAATACTTAAATTAACATTAAGCCCATTGTTGGCGAAAAGATTTGCTTGCTCGACGGGCAGGGGGTTGATGACCCCGATAGTATTGTAAGTGGGCAAATGCCGCCTTGATGCTCTCGAGATTCCAGGTGGTAAAGGCTTCGAAAACTTTAGAATTTTACACTAAACTGATATAATCAATTTAAGGGTCTCAAACTAGGTCCAGGAATTCGAAATAGGGGGGGGGGGGCGCGATTTTTTGTCGACGACTCAGCCTAGCCGGTTGGTGGCGCTATTTGCTGCCATGGCTTGTTGCGAAGCCTAATCAACAACGAATACAATGACGTAAAGATGACTTAATTGTTTTTTTTGGAAGGAATTCTTATTGCAAGTACAACTGTTAGGCACAAAGGAGGTCACTTAATATGTAACAGACTGTAGGCACTTATTCGACCTGTCTGTAGTTACTAGCAAAGCTATAGATCTGAATGGTGACGGTACTAGTAGGCTCAAGCGCATGGGGTCACGATTGATTTACTTTACGCAGTAAAGTATTAGTATTTTAGTAAAGTATTATTGCAGTACTAGAACAAAAAACTTATTGTCTTTTCTCCATCTTCGGAAGTATAACTCATCGTCCTATGCCAGTGTGCCAATGATTGTAGTAGTAGTGACTTTTTAAATGTGTTATGTCTAGTATGTTTATGTTTAATTACAAAAAGCAACGGTGTGTAATAGTTATACCAGGGAGATAAAAATTCTAATTGTTCACGTACTAATAATATTATAAATAAAGCAATTAAAAATGTATTTATTAGGCCTACATGTTTACAGAAGTTTGATTACCAGTACTTTGATTACTGAAAGTTTGGTAACTGAAATTTATCGAAGACGTATGACGTATCAGGAACCTAAATGCTAAACCTTTACTTATTTCAACTTTAAATAAATAAATCAATAGTAATAATAACAATAATAATAATTGTCATTATACAGTAAAACAAACTTTAATTCAATTAGTACTGGTTTTTTATTTTCTAATTTCAATACCTATTTATTACTGTTACTGTTTGATGGTGTTTTTTAGATACGGTACCTTTTTCCTTATGCTTTTATTTTCATAACTTTTACAAATGTTAATGTTACTTAGCTGCGAAGTGGTTTATGGTAGTTAATGCATAAATAATGTCACGTACGAACAATATTTGTATTAGACCCTCTAAATCTAGGTTAGTTCACTCATCATTTTCGGACATCAACCTTTTCCATTTTATTTATTTTTTTCCTTTGCGTTTTTAAATAATTTATGTTTTTTAATCAATAAATTGATTTAATTTAATTCATGGACAAAAAGCTCACGATCGCAAAAAAGGCTCTTGTAACCTTGTCACAAGCTTTGGCCTATTCACTCAATAAGCGGAAGCCGCTACAAAACAACAACATGAAAAGAACATTACAATTTCACTTGTAATTATGATAGTATTTAGCCTAAGTTTCCTGATTAGTAAAATATGAATTATGCAAATGAGTAATTAGCATATCACACACGTACGAAAAACTAATAACCTCATTCTTCTTATTACCATCTTGAATTATCCCAAGTTTGAAATTAATCGGATTTACCTAACTTTAGTTATCGTAGTAACAAACAAAGGCCAAACAGTGACAACGACGACGACAACGACGAAAGATGAAGATATCCGAGGCAAAAACAATAGCCTCCCGGGGCTTTGTTCCTTTGGGGAGACTAATAAACTCACTGAATAATAAGTATGATCGCCTTAACAACATATTAACAAAATATCTCCAATGTAAATTATAAATTTTTTAAAGATTTTTAGCGAAGTTTATAGATGCTATGAAAATTACGCCCTACATTTTACGACGAACCTGTGGATGGGAAAACAGTGGTGGATCTAGGGGGTGAATAGGGTGGCTAGCC